GCTGCAGGCCTCTTAAAGCCTGAGCTCAGAAGTCCCAGAATGTCATTTCCTCACATTCTTTTGGTCACAGGGCCAGCCCACATTCACAGAGAGAATAACATAAGTTGTCCTTCTTAATGGGAAAAGCTGCACACAGATAAATACAGGGAATAGAGGAACTGATGGCTGCTCTTTGGAGATGACAACCACAGATATGTTACAGTAATCCAGTAAACAGTTAATCAGAATTAACTTATCGGTAATGAGCAGTCATCATCATATCAGGTTTCTTCCCTTGTTCACTTGTGCCAATGAAAGACTTAGAAAGAAATCCCTGCGTACTGGCACAGCCTTGCAGAGACGTGCTCATCACAGCTCTCAGGAAGTTCTCCTTCCTGCCTTTATGTTGCTTATTCTCCTGGTCGTATCATTTAAGGTATATCCCAAGCCTTGGTGTCCCACCTTCAATGTCCCAAGACGACTACAATCACAAAAAATGAAACTAATTTCCTGTTTATCAAAAACTTTTAATAATCTATTGGGGAAAACATGACTGAAAAATAGATATAAGATAGCCACAGGTGTGTTTGTTTGTTTGTTTGTTTGTTTTAATTTAGTCATAGCTGTGTACATTAATGCTATCATGGGGTACAGTGGGTTGTTTCTGTATACAATTTGGAATACTTTCATCCAACTGGTTAACATAGCCTTCATGTCACAGTTTTGAATCTCTGGGTGACTTTGAATCATCTCTTAAGTGTAATTGGATTCCTTTCAAACCAAGTGTGACTGCTGCCCCATTTCCCCCAGGGGGTCAGCATAGTGGAGCGGCAGTATATCCAGGACCGGATTCCCTCCTGGACCGGAGCCGGCTTCGTCCGCGTGCCCGAAGGGTCCTATCTGGAGTTTTTCATTGACAACATACCATATTCCATGGAGTATGATATCCTGATTCGCTATGAGCCACAGGTAAAAACCAAACTAAAAGGAGGGAGGGGAGGGGGTACCTCTCAGGGGTCCTGTGTGTTTTTGGGTTTTGTGAAATTTGAAGGTTGCCTCAGTACAGACCAGCCTCTGACTTTCTCAGGTCCTCTATGGAAATTAAAATGTAACTTATTCTTCTTGAATCCAGTTTCTCAAATATTTAGTGACCTCTTGTTAGACACTTGACCTTGCTGAGGACCACATGGTGATGAGAATGTGTCATGTCTTCCCTTACACACAGTCTGGCTGCCCAGTGACAGACACAAAGCCCTAACTGGAAAGAAAGGCCAAAGGGGACGGTGTCACAGCAGAGAGCACAGTGGTGCCCACAGATGGACCTGCTCATACCGGCTGAGCTGAGCCAGGGGCTACCAGTGTTTCTTAGGGAATCAGATCTGGGCCTTAAAGCGTGGATGGAATTGTGCTAGGCTGACACAAGAGGAAGTAAGGACGAGTGTGAGCAGTGGGGAGGAGAGAACTTTTCTGAAAATCGTTTCCACAGAGCTGGATAAAGATACTTGGTAGGAGGTGCTAGTAGCTGTAACTGAATTTGGACAGGAAGCTACTGGGGGATTTTGAGCAGGGGATTGTTATTATCTGAGCTGCTTGAGAGTGGACTGAGAGGGACATTGGGAAGAGGCAGAGAGAACGGTTGGGAGGTGTTTCTTGTGTGGGGGACCAGAGGGAGAGGAAAAGCAGCCATGTGTTTTCTGTTTCGACGTGGCAGATGACTGATTCGGAGAAATCTTTATAAACAGGCGGCGGTGGGCTAATGCAGATGGTGCTTTGATTATTTCTTACTCTAGCTACCTGACCACTGGGAAAAAGCTGTCATCACAGTGCAGCGACCTGGAAAGATTCCAACCAGCAGCCGATGTGGCAACACTGTTCCCGATGACGACAACCAGGTGGTGTCATTATCTCCAGGCTCGAGGTCAGTGTGCCAGTGGCAGCTTCACAGAACTAATGCATGCTGATATTTTTCTGTGTCTTGTGAGCTGTGGCGTTACCATTTCAGGCGTTGACTATTGGTTTTTCTGCTTTGGCATTATCAGCATAGAACTTTTGTTTCGATCTTAATTCTTTGGGTTCTGAAAGGTTACTTTCATTGTCATCTTTCTCTCTTGGGGCAGATATGTCGTCCTTCCCCGCCCAGTGTGCTTTGAGAAGGGTGTGAACTACACGGTGAGGCTGGAGCTGCCCCAGTACACCTCCTCTGACAGCGCCGTGGAGAGCCCCTACACGCTGATCGATTCCGTAAGTGACGGGTCACTTCCTGCGCAGGCACTGGGCAGACCATGTCCAGCACGTCCTTGGGGCATTTTATAGCCGGGTAACACTGAACAGTTGGACAGAATCATTGTGTCTTGCCTCCAAGGTTACTTTGCTTACACTGTGTGCAAAGGATGTGTTCAGGCTGCTTCCTTCTGAAAATATAAAGTGCCTTAAAAAACTAGCACTTCAAAAACCATCAAGCTCTAGTAAAGTATTTCTTGCCCAGAGTATTTAAGAATGGAAAGATTTTCACTTTTTTTAATGAGTCTAACTCTTTCTGTTCAAAAGTCAAAGAAGCATCTCGGGCTTCTGTGTGTTTGCCCACTGGACCTGGTAGCTCCGGGTACCACCCTAAGGCCGTCCGGCTGTTCTGGTTTCTTCACAGCTCGTCCTCATGCCCTACTGCAAATCGCTGGACATCTTCACTGTGGGAGGCTCAGGAGACGGGGTGGTCACCAACAGTGCCTGGGAAACCTTTCAGAGATACCGATGCTTGGAGAACAGCAGAAGCGTTGTGAAAACACCCATGACAGATGTTTGCAGAAACATCATCTTCAGCATTTCTGCCCTGTTACACCAGACGGGCCTGGGTAGGTACTGCCTAGCAGCTGCTGCTCCTGGCTCTCAGCGTACCGAAAAGCTGTACAGGAGGAGCGTCACAGTGCATGCCCCACAGTTCTGTTACACAGCACAAAGAAAATAGTGTCTTACCTATAGTGTGTCTTTATTTTTTTTTGAAATAATGTTTTAGTGATAAAGTGCCATCGAAGCTGGAACCTATAATCAAGAAGTATGCAAGTAATAGGAGACTAATGTCCGTGAGGATGTAGTGTTTCCACAGGCAGGGACGGGGAGTGGGGATGGAAGCAGAAGGAAGCATCAAGTAACTTAAACATCTGTGTTTCTCTTTGAAAGGTCAGACCAGCCCCCAAAGGTCACTGGGCTTTGGTCTAATGTCCCGTGATATCTGAGCTTTGAAAGCAAGGGTATAAACCCTTAATGACCTCCTGCCTGGAAAAACGTCTTTGATCTGCTGGCTCTGCCTCCTCTCTCTTCCCTTCCATGCACTGAGGGATGACACTGTTTGAAAGGAGAATTCTGGATGAGCCAGAGTAGTAAAGGACCCAAAGGATGCCGGCAAGCCAGAGGAAAGGCTGCAGGCTGGTTCAGAGACTCTGTGACGTGCTGCTCTGTGTCATAGCTTCTGGTCTCTTTCTCCTGCAGCTTGCGAATGTGACCCTCAGGGTTCCTTAAGTTCCGTGTGTGACCCTAATGGAGGCCAGTGTCAGTGCCGGCCAAATGTGGTTGGAAGAACCTGCAACAGATGTGCACCTGGAACCTTCGGCTTCGGCCCCAGTGGGTGCAAAGGTAAGTTCCTCGGAAGCAATGTCATGTGTTCCTTCAGTTTAACTGCGCCATCTGGGCAGGGGTCCACTGTTGCAAAGATGATGCTTCATGCCAGAAGTGGATCTCACGAGCCTATGAGCATTCTGAGGTGGGGACAGGGTGTGTTTAAGAGGGCATGTTTCCACCAGAGGAATTTCTCACTGCTGTGCTTGGTTCCTTTAGCTTGTGAGTGTCATCTGCAAGGCTCTCTCAATGCCTTCTGTGATCCTGTCACTGGCCAGTGCCACTGTTTCCAGGGAGTGTATGCTCGGCAGTGTGACCGGTGCTTACCCGGGCACTGGGGCTTTCCCAGTTGCCAGCCCTGCCAGTGTAATGGCCATGCTGATGACTGCGACTCAGTGACAGGGGAGTGCTTGAGCTGCCAGGACTACACCACAGGTCATAACTGCGAAAGGTATGTGAACACTGCCCGTGAGAGTAAGGAGAACGAGGTAGTCTTGGGCTGAGCAAACCGCATCTGAGACAAACCACAGAGTTCATTTCTACCGGGCGCCAGGGGGCTCATTCATTTCCAGTGACCTCAGTATTTTCTAGGAACTTGTTTATTTATCTAGTACGTATTTAGTTCACAGCTGCTATGTGCCAGGCACTGTTCTGGTGCTGGTGATACTGCAGCAAATAAAACTGACTTGAATCTGTCCTCTTAAAGAATGATCCGAGTTCCTAGAATTTATCACAGCTTCTGTGTAGAAGTTAGGCCTCTGTCTCCACATCTTCTGGCCTAGGGTGAGAGTTGTGTAATGCTAATGCTGAATTTGGATTGAAGTAGAAACCAAATCCAAGTGGGATCATTTTAAAAAGCTTTTAACAGCTTTGTTTTTCAAAACATTTTATGCAACTACAATTTCCAGGAGACTATGTGCCTAAGGAGATCTGTTCTCTAGCTAGCAAGTGTCCATTGAATAATTATGTATGCAAAGCACTCCATTCAATACCCAGTAATAAGACATAGAACATGCCTCCTGGAACATTAATAGTCCAGCTCAGCAGATTAAAAAATAGTCCATATGAGAAAAATCATATGCTGACTGACACTATTCACTGCAAATTCAGAAATGCAGACACACTGTTGTGATCTACTTTTAGAGGGTACAGGGGTCTCCACCTTTCCATGTCAGTAGATTTTCTCCATCTTAATATCCATTCACCTCTAGGATTTTTGTTTTAAAAAG